TAAACCGCTATCTTCCCACTTAGGGGGGGAGTCAGAGGAGGTACACGAGTATCAGTTTCCGTATGGGTGACTGGGGGGGGCCAGGGCATACGACGGTTCGAGCCGTCGATGGACGGGGGGCGGGGAGCCAGGTCCGTCGGGGCGGGTCGGTCCGCGCAGGGCATCCGCCAGAATAGTTATACCGTTCGGATTATCAGATTACCGGGAGAGTGGGCACCAGTCGGGCCTGGGTGTGCGAGCGCGCGTCGAGCGGCATCCGTAGAGCGGTGCGGGGGAGACAACACCGAAGATCACGAGACGCCCATATTCTAGAAACACCCCCACGACCGCGCTCAGAGCCGACCCCTGGAGCGCGGGGAGGAGCGGGGCGGGGGGGTGCTGAGCGGACAGAGTGACAACAGACATTTTAACTGCGGCGGCCGAGGAAGAACAGCGCTCCCACGGGCGGGGCGAGGGTGTCCCCGGCGTTCTGAAGCGATCCACCATAATGACCCAATACGGATATTATTTACGCGAGCGCAAGAAACGAGACTCGGGAGTCTGTAAACCCAACAAAATCCACCTCGCGGGGAGGCCCAAGCTGTTCCAAAAGAGCCCTCCGGGGCGCATGAACCGCGCGCAGACGAACCACCAAGTAGCCAGCGAACATACCCCGCGCCGGTGACCACCCCGGAAAATCCGACTCACAATGGCTAGGACAAGCCTGGGCCCCACGAGACAGACTACAACCCAAGACCACAAACCCAAAAATTCCGTCACGACACTCGCGCCGAATCAGCCCCGCGAGGGTCGACACGACCGCCCTCGACAGCCACCCCACCAAACACAAAGCCGCCAACACCACAAGACTATAACCGGCGAACACCCACCACGAGAAACGTACCCCAACAAACCAGCGACGAAAAACGCCGCTGCCCACACACCGAGAACAATAATGCCACTCTAACAAAACCCCCCCGCCTCCGTCAACACCCTATCCGTACCAGACTGTATCCAACAAGCAAAACCCCGCTGAAGACACAGGACCGAGGACTAACACGTATGCGAGGCACCACCTCGTACCGGAACGCGCGCACGGAAGTAACTCCAAGCACCTCACGCCGCAACCCTCCATGAACCCGTCCCTTGGGGGTGAGTGGGGGTAGACCCCTGGCGAACTAGACCCAGCCACATCACCCCACCCTTTTCAACATGGATACACCGCGGGAGGAGCAGAAGCGTAATGACGAAACAATGCACGCGCAGAGACCGAGCGAGAGGCTACCTGACAGGACAACTCCCACGGGCCCAACGGATACACCCGTAAGCGCCTCCCCGGTAAACACCCAGACAGCGGCTGAGAGAGAGCCCCAAAAGTATGCTCCCTCTTACCAGTCAGGCCATCCCTCATCCGACGTCACAAGCCCGCAACACCCTCGATAAACAGCGGCCTAAACACGAAATACCCTAAGCGACACCCATACCATCTTACCTGTACCCTTTCGGACGGCCAACACCACCCGGTCATATCAACAACCCCCCAGACTGACAACTGCAGCAGCTCGAGGAACCCTACGCGACCAAAAACAAACCCGCATCTCCCGATCACATCCACGATACTCGAGCACGCCGAACGACCGCCACTCCGCCCAGGCAAAACGCGCCCACAGCTCACATCCACAGGTACAACACAAACAAGCGGCACACACCCCCCGCAAGGAGCAGCGACAACCCCCCGACACATAGCGCCGAGGTAGCGCCCCATCCACCCAGCGAGCCCCCCCGAATCCTGACCCACAAACCACCCCCCATGACGGCCAACACCGACAGCTCAGGAAGATCACCCCCCGTCAGACCAACATCAAGACGCGCCTCCCCTACCAGCCCGCGGCACCATCCCCCGCATCTCGCGGCCGACCGCAGCGGAACCCCAGAGCCCTCCTGGGCCAAACGGCCCCCCCTGAGCGCGGAATGAGACCCCCCCCGCAGCACCTCGATCCCCTTTAACCGGTCAGAACCATCCCTGACCCCAGAAAGCGGTATGTTGTTAGAGCGCTCGCACACAGGCACGCCGCCAAACACAGCACCTACAATCTCCAGCCCAAACACCCACCTAAACCGCACGCACCAGGCGCAGGACATTAATCTGGCGAGAACAGCGCAACACAGCCCCGCCTAAAGAAACTAAAGGCCGGGACCGAAGACTAAGCCGACCTGAGATCCGACAACAGCGTGCGACACCTACAAGACTGCGAAACTCAAAACCCGGCAGCCCGCCTACCCACAACGATCATGCCCAAAACCCACACCCGGCGGCCAAACAAAGCCCTGCCCCGGGGGGTGGGGGGCGGGGGGGGGGGGGGGGGCACCCCAGCAACCGCGCCCGACTAAAACCCGCCAGATCGGCACTTCTACCACACGAGCCAGCGTCGTAACAAACTACAGTTGCCCACCACTGACACCGCAAAGGGCGAAACGCGCAAGCACAACCAGCCACCTAAAACACCCCAGTAGCCGCACGGCAAGCACTCTAGAAATAACAGCCCGCCGCCCTGGCCCAGAGTCCAGAAGACCACTCCCCGGAGCGGGGGGACCGTAGCACCCCAACCAGCAGAAAGGGTCGGCGATCGCTAGCGGAGTCCAACCGACAAAAAAGCACCGTCCCGCCCTCAAGCGCCCCCGACTAGTCCTTCCGTCCGCCACTAACATTAAGGGATCAGAAGCCCCGACAACAATACCCTTCCCCCACCGTCGGGAAGAGCTATCTTCCCAGCAAGGGTCACTCCGACCCGGCGTCCCCCCCGCGAATCACAAAATCGCACCATCCCTCACACCGACGCACAACACACAACACCACCATCAAGAAACCCGCGGGGAGAGGCCACCCCCTCACACAGGGCACGGCCGGGGGTGGGCGGGGGGGGGGGGGGGGGACACACCGCCCCCCTTGCCTATCCAACCCCACCAACGGCACAGCTAACCAGCTACCGCCGACCCCTAACCCAACGAGTGAACGAGGAGGGCCATCAACCTGTAACGGGGGGGCGCGAATGCCAATACTTCCAACCCAGTCACAAACTACTCACCTGCAAACACCTATCCAGGACACGTCCCCCCTTGCTACCCCCACCCCCCACTCACCGTGCGCAGGTCAAAAACCCAGCCCGACTGGCGGTGGACCGGCCCAGAACGCACGTCAGGACAACCCCGATGCGAAAAACATCAATACGCGCAACAATAGAACGACGTACCCCCAGCTCTCACCGAGAGAGAGCCCAGAATCAACACTGGATCCTGTATCACAGGACAACCCAATGAGGCACACAAGGGTCACCGCACCGCGATACCGACGAACTCTACGCCCGACGAACGCACCACAGAACAAGCATAACGAACGTTCGCCGAAGACGCCAGCCGCACCCCTGCACAACATAAAGCCAGAATCCAGCACAGTACCCGGCGGCGGCGCACCAACCCCGATGACACACACCAAACAAAGCAGCCCCACAACCACCTAAGAAACGGTAGCACTCACGCACCACTAGCACAGGCAAGAGCCAGGCACCGGGCGACGTCGCCAACTGGGGGAATCTAACGGCCAGCCAAAAATAGCCTCCGCTATTCGACACGAAACCAGACGCACGAACCGCAGCCCCCACCACAGTAACTCACAACCCTACGCCCGCACCCAACCACGAAGGCTCGTAGAGCCGGCCAGGCCGTAGCCCCCGCCATACGCATCACGGCGAGAGAACGGCAACCGCAGGGAGCACCCACCCCAACGAAAAGCAAGCGGGGCCTCCACAGAAGGCCCCACGGCCCACCCACAGCTGACCTACCTTCAACCTCACCCGACCAGGAACACTTCACAAAACTCAGTGATATCCCACACAGCGCCACCCCACAAAAAACACAATCCCACCCGGCTGCACTCCCGTACAGCACACGCCACCAACCGACTCACGAATCGTACAGCCAACAGGAATAAGCCCGCGCGACCACAGGACTCGAACAGCGGAACTGGGGCTACCACAGCAAGCTCCAAAAGCCCCCCTAACCGGCGCACCAGGCCTCCGTGAAAAGGCGCGCAGGACGAGCCATGGACTGTGTGTGGTGGAAGCCTCGGCGTCGGAGGCCAGTCCGATAACCCGATCACAAGCCCTCAAGCGTTGCGTGCCTCTGGCCCGGATACACCCCATCCACCCCTGCACTCATTTCTAAAGGATGGGAGGGTGAGGTTCCTCTGGCAAAAGCATGACCTCCTTATCTCGATCGTATCTCGAACGAAGCGAAGTGTGCCACTATTTGGAGCGATATCGGCGTATAGTGGCAATATACCAAACAAGGGCAGTACGCACTGACGTGTGCAACCAACAGGAGTAATCTTGCGCCTAACGCCAGTGGTGACCAAAATTACGGCCTCCGATTATCGTTCGTACACCTCACTGCAGACACGGAATCTACGGATTAAGGAAGACAGGCCGGTTTTTGCCGCCCAGGACGTAGCTGTATAGCCAGATATTTAACTTTTGCGGCTAGGTGCTAGAGGCAGCGGCGCATCAGCACTACCGCAGACCGATAATAGCTCGTGTTCTCCTCGTTTTCAAGAGTGCGTTTAGCGAGTTCAGTTCGATCGATCGAGTCTGTGCGAAATACTTGCGCGAAAGCTGAGTTCCCACGAAATAATGTCGAACATCCTTTCTGCTCTTAAACTACGCGAGCACTAGAAGAGGCCGCGTCACGTCTATGGTGCCCTCATCGGATAGCTTTCTCCTCTTTCCGGCTACAGAGTCTGGCCCGTTTTGCGCGACAGCGGGGGGCCCGAGATTTACCCCCGTGTTGGTCAAATATCGAGTCGTGGATGCTATCATGGATCGTACCCCTTGGGAAGTCTCACCCGATGCTTTGCGTGTGCAAATGCTGTCTGGCGTGAAAGTTAGTTTATGATCGAGACTTTATAGCTGACGATATCGGTCCTTCCTTTTGCGTACAATGTTTGCAGGCGGGCACAAGCAACCCTGACTAGCCTATCCCAGAGTGGTCCTGTAACAGGGTGGAGCCGACCTTCGTCCACTCAGAAACCCGACTTCAAAGTGCAAAGTGTTGCTGCAAGACCACCAGGCCCACTCCGAGGACCCCGTGGCACGCTTGCTAACGAGGACCTCGAGGTGGGTTGGATCAATTGTCATTTCATCTTGGCATGCTGCATCAGCAATGAATGCGCGCAAAGAAACTTAAACGTCGAGCTCAAGCAAGCTGCACAGGCTAGAAGCTGCCTTCTTCACCCTGCTCATCTCTTGGGCGACAGAAGGAGTCGTTGCCCTCGTCTGAAGAGCCGTGAATATACAAGGCCACGAGCTGGAGCCGGGCCGTTCTGCTCTACGGGGTAGTAAAACTTAGCCCCTCGGTCTGAAGGTTCGAAAGGGCGGCCATCAACTCTTGACCACTCCCCGTTGTTTTGCGAACAGTACTGTGTCGGACATGGCACAGCGGAGCCGTCCAACGATGATAGGTGGCGTAGGCGAGTCATGTGGTGATGAGCATGAGCCTACCCTCCCTAAAAACAACCAGATACGCACGTAAGATGTTTCGTTCGGGCTCGGGGCACTGCACGCACGTGCACTGTGTCACCGCTTACCTAGCAGGGCCTTGTTCATCAAACCAAGGTGGTCCGGATCGCACAAGGCCATCGAGGGGTACAGATAGCGTTGCGACTTGGAGAAGCGGAAATGAGAGTCACGACGACCAGACCTGGGTAGCCGTTTGAGTCCGTCGCTCGCCTGTCCGGGCTGGAGTCAGATGACTCAGACCTGTCGCTTGGCCGGACACTTTAACACGGACATAGAGCCATCGCAGTGAGCACCAGTGGCGCGTCCGCCTAGGCCTGGTACTCTCCTAAGCGGATTGTCTGTCTAAAGTTGTTTGGTTGCGGAGTTATCTCCGGGGTCTAATGGCTGAAGTATGACGCGTGCAACAAGCTGGGGAAAGCCAGCAGGAAGACGGTCTCCGCCGATGCGCCTTATCTTTGCTTCGAGAGCCAACTTGCTTGTGACGGTATGTCATGGCTACACAAGGTGTAGGCGCCTTGACCCTGTATGTGTTTCGCTAGGGCATTAAGGTTGTCAGGGAAGTCCCCCTTCTCTTGCCTCGTCTACATCCTTTTATTTCATAGTCCTCATGGTTGTATGGCAGCAGCAGCAATCAGTTCAAGTGGGCACGATTGTTCCTGGCTGTTCTGAGACTGACTGATGATGATGATGAAGATATCATTGTATTGACAAGCAACCGGTCAAAGGCCGAGTTTGGATCTATTGCTTCTTACTATCCCTCTCTTGACCCTTTTTTCACCTTTATAATCCTGTGCCAACTTTACTCTTTATCCCCCCCCCCGTTTCTCACCCCCATCTCCGGCCCTCCCCTACCGCCTTTGATAGGTAGAGCATCTAGCGCTAAGTTTCAACTCACAATGCAAACTCGAAAGGTCACTTTAACACCCACTGGTTCGTCAACCCAGTCGTACCCTCTAACCAAGCGATCAAATCCGGTTCAGCGGCTGACTTCTATTTAGAAGGATGCCTCCCGATCCTCCCTCAGAGGGCATGCCTCAACCAGACAGACCGAAGAAACCCATACGAAACGGCCTCCGTACAGGCCCGAAGCAATCTCGGGGACCCATGCGAGGACAGAACACTACCCCATACCGCAACCCTGGCCCGCGACAGTAATCCAGGTAGGACCGACCCAACCGCAACGTCTAGACCAGGCACCAGAAACTGAATAACCTCTGCCCAGCGAGATCTATCCAGCCGTCACAATGAGACACCCCCTGATGCCGTCACCTCAACGCCGCCCACACCGTGCACCGCACCGCCATCGGACGGGGGGTCCCAGAACGAGCTCCGACGGAGACCACCCCATCGTGTGGAACCAGAGCTCGAAGAGACCACACTCCCACGAGGCTTACACTGACAAAACACCCCCTCACACGAGTGCGACCGGCAAGTCGCATCAAGCCGTGCCTCGGAAACCACAAACCGGACGGGGACAAATTGACTCGAACCCGCACCTCAGACCAGGACGCCACAAAACTAATTCCCTAGGCTCACTGCAGGACGCCTCCCGACAGCCACTGGCCCAAACATCGAGCAGGAAAACAGATCGCGTAAAAAGCCAAACCCGCCCCCAAGCACGCATCCGCCCCGCCAGCTTGGAGCCGGGAAACATCGTAGCACCG